ATTCATGACAGGCTGCATGGATGGGCAGGGAGGTTTTTTGCCCAGAACAGAACCATACCGCCAAACCAAACTATGCTAAGTATCTATCATTTTGACGATAGTGGTCCTGACAGAAATATAGTTATTAGATTTTATATTATTTATTAAATATATTCCATATTTAAATTTACATTTAAATGTTAAATTTAAAGCTGCAGGCCATAGGTTTTGCTTCTTTGTCGCCATCTCTGTTTGAAACATGTGAATTATTCCTTCATCAACATGCATTTGTGTAGATCTTCATGCATGAGCCACAGTGGGATCTATCTTGAGCAGATCAGGCCTTTCCGGGGTCTGAATGATTGCATAAGTGCAGGGCCGTCCACAATCAAACAACCTTACATTCAGGAACACTTTCCATCCCACACTTGATTGTACGTTGTAATTTAAACCTCACTTTTACTATACAATTTACACACTGTACAGCTGTTTTTACCGGGAACACAAGGCAGATATGTAATGTGTAAGAAAAAATATACATCACAAAGTCTAAACATGTAGATGTCTCCTGCAGGACCAGTGAAACACAATGCACACCTTTCTTATGATGCTTCCATCCGTGCAAACTAAAATAACTGATGGGAAATGTCTGTCCGGACAGTTTTTCGGGACATACTGTGATGCATTTACAAATTTCTAAACGTTGTGATTGCAAATCTCTGCCTTGAATGATGGAAGTCATTATTCTGTAGTGAAGTCCGCAGATAAACCATGGTGCTTTTCTCATTTCATGCTAGTCCTAGAAATCCCGAAGGAACCCAAGTTTATGGGATAACGTTTCATGAGTCATAAATAATGTTGAGGAATGCTCAAAACGTGTGCAAACAACAACATTGCTTTACTTCTTTTCGCCACTAAAAGTTTGCGTTTCTATAGAAATTAAGTCCACCTCAGATGCGGTCTGTGCCAGTGTAGAATCCACTACTCTTCGCTTGTGCATATGGCAGTTTTTTTTTTTTTTGGTCCATTTTTATTTCTTTTTCTTTTTCTATTTTGTACACATCCACAGGAGAAAAGCAAAAAAGAAGTCTTCTGAATTATATAACATAGTCATCATTCAAAAAGATCTCTTCTTTATTTTTATTTCCCCTAAGACATATGCTTTCATGCTAAGTCTCACCTGTCCTGGAACGGCAAGGGGAGGAACACAAATTGGGAAATCAAGGGGTGTGTTTTTGGCAGGATCGGACAGATGGCAGATCAAGCCACTGCCAGGAGGCACCAAACCAGCTGGTGTACCTCCACCCTCTTCCACACCCCCACCCCACTGTTCTGACAGGGGGTCCGGACACGGTCGGGCCGGATTAAGAAGGGGCCTGAGGGCCACGACTACAGGTCTAGCATCTCGGTCTACTGTATTTACTGTTCAGACGAGACAGGGAGCCCCTCCGCATGCTGCTCTCCACTGTTCCTGTCAACTCCATCATTGTAATGGTAATCCGGGGCTCCCTCGACAACGGCAGAATGGATTCCCCAAGGTGTACAAGCAGCCAGGATGACAAGAGAGGGCGGAGCTGAGATACGCAAGTCTAACAAGCATGAAGGACCTATTTATACATCAAAGCGAAGACGAGTTAAGATTCACTTCAGAGGTGGAAGCTCTTGGTCAATACCAGGAGGCAACTGTCTCGCAGGCACTGCGCCCAAATTGAAAATGTTCTGAAAGAAAGCACAGATCTGCGTGCTTAGCTTTGAACCCAAATGGAAATGCATACTTTCTTATATTTTATGATGTTTGTGTTTTATGAAATAAAAGTACTTCCATGTAAAGTATGTTGGAACATTTAGAGCGTACCAGCATGCATTTGCATTGATTACAGCTTTTGTGTGGAGCGTTCTGAATATTTCAGTTTAGTAATGTCTAAGACAGTACTGTTATTGCTGGAACTAAGTTAACAATATCTGAAAACACAATTGGTTTAGATGTTTTCAGGTAAAGAATATCGTTGCTTGTTCACGTGACTGATGATGGATTATCAAAAGGCTCGAGAAATGGTGATTCCTGAGAAATATTTTAAATGGTCAGCCGGGTCCAGGTCGGGTCCCAGGGTCTGTTTATCATTGTGTGAAATACCCGAGTCGATCGGAGAACACTGCACCCACCAGTGATCAGTGTCAGTCAGCACTTTGCGTGTGTTTTGTAACTTGCAACTTGTAAAATTAGGATGAGAAAAGTGTGATCGGGCAATAAGAAAAAATTTGCGTGACCTCAGCCGCCAGAGGCAGTGCGCGGGCGGAGTTAATGTTAGTAGGCTACTGCAAGCGGACGATGATCATGGATTCCTACATGAGTGATGTGAAAAAAAAGCTGAAACAAAACTGAAGAGACGTTTGTGTTATTGAACATGCACACAGTAAAGTGTAACGCTCTTCTTGTTCTGTGCATTTTTTGCAAAAAAATAATTGCTCCGAGTTTTTATTACAACCAACAAAAAGTATTGTTATTGTAGTTCAAAAGGGTAAACGCAACAGTCGAACTTGACTCGAGATGTAAAAAAAAAAAGCATTAGTCATCCGTCACCAACCGTGACACCAAGTAGACTTTTGAAGCTGGAATAATGAGTGGATTAAGAAGGTTCTTTCAGTCGGCAAGAGAGAAGAACAGCCTAACATCGATGGAAATTTATTGGCAAGGAGGATTGTATGCATCGCAGTCAAGGAGAAGGCTACTATCAGTAGTTAAGCCAAAAAGGTTTTTTTTTCCCGCAACTTGTTTATTGACTTGTTAATAGCAGTTTGCTGTGCAATATGTGCCGATCGGGTGCAGTCGGGTCTGTGTGTTCCCAGCCGGGTTCGGGTCCCACTTAAAAAAAAAAAAACGGGTCCGGGTCGGTTCCGTGCAGCACATTTACTGGTCTCTTCGGGTTCGGGTATGAATTTTTGGACCCGTGAAGACCTCTAATATATAGTACAATGCAATGCTGGAAATCAAATAAATAAGTGTCTCTTTCTTTGGACGAGTTTGTTCTGTGTTATCTTGTCAAACAGATTCACTAGAATGAATTCGACCTCTCAATTCAACATAAGACAGAAATAAATATTTTAGGACATTTTAGCTTCCACAACACTAATGTAAATGTATTGGAGAAGAAATGCAACAGATGACTCTACTTGTCACTCACCACGTTCAATCTGAAAGCTTGTCTACAAGACCTGGTGAATACAGAGAAACCATTGTCTGAATAGCAGATGTTTTTAATCATTAAGCTACATCTACTGGCACAGGTGACAGGTGGACCATCTTGGATAGAGATTTGAAAATGAAAAGATGAAAATGCCAAGACTATTCATCACATTTTTAGACCCAGGACACCTGTGTTAGATTTTGCCATTAAAAATAATGTTTAAGATATAAATCAGGTTACACAAATTGCTGACCAAATATTCCCAAAATCCCTTCAAGGTGCTAGAACTAAACGAAGCTTTTGTTTGGATTAGTTTTTATTATTGAAATTACAAAATACTGAAGTATCATAAAATATTCGTTTTTTAAATTAATTATAAATAATTATAATATATTAATTAATTATATAACTATTACTTGTTTATGCATTTTTTACATTTAATTTTTTTATATTTTATAATATTTATAATTACAAAATAGTATTTTTGCATTAATATATACAGATAAACTGTCTACCTTAGGTGCTGGTTATCATTAAATTGTCTTGCTGTGTACATTTTAGAAATTAATATTACATGTACATGTCTCTTCATACAAAGATTACAAAACTAAACAGGTATTCAAGGGCAGGCTTTAAGATGGTTTAGATCCTACCTGTCCGATCGCTAACACTTTGTTTATTTAAACGGGGAGTTATCGCAATTATCACCAGTAAAGTACGGAGTGCCACAAGGATCTGTCCTAGGTCCTCTGCTATTTTCAATATACATGTTGCCCTTTGGTAATATTATTAGAAAATACGGGATTAGTTTCCATTGTTATGCTGATGATACTCAACTATATATCTCAGATGACCAGATGAAACTTCTAAATGATCTAAGCTAACAGAGTGTGTTAAAAATTTAAAAGATTGGATGACTAATAATTTTCTCCTATTAAATTCGGATAAGATAAAGATATTACTTACTGGACCAAAAAAAGAGTACACAGAATCTCTTGGATTACAATTTGCATCTAGACGGATGTACTGTTGTTCGAGGTTCAGACACACTCTCTCTGTTTAAATCTAGATTAAAGACACATCTCTTTGGCCAAGCATTCAAATAATGCATCTCATAATCTTGTACTGCAGTTATATCTGATCAAATGCACATTACTATTCTTTAGCTTGGGTTAAACAAATCAATTTTGCTTGGTTGGAACAGCAGCTACGCTAATTATGTCTCTATTTGTTTCTCTGTTTCTGTAATTAGTATTTACACAAGCTTCAGTCTGGATCCAGAACACCTGAGAAGAGATGATGCAAACCCCTCAGAGGACCTCAGATGATGCCAACCATGAAACAACATACAGAACTACCACATTTTGCTATGAGTTTGATTGCAACATATAATAACTGCTGTTAATAGTGTTCGTTGTCTGTTTGATTACGTCTTTAATTGATTTTTCCGCACATTTCTGCCATATGTACATTAACTGACAGTCACCACTGATAAGCTACTACTAAATATATTGTATATTGTATATAATTTTCTGTAAAGCTGCTTTGCAACGATTTGTATTGTGAAAAGCTCTATACAAATAAACTTGAATTGAATTTAACTGAATCATATTGCATGTATGATAATTATACAACAATGAAAAAGGTTTAAAATAAAAATAAATAAATAATTTGAAGAATAGCATTGTCACTGCTTGATGTCATGTCACACTTATATTATGAAGTTCAATTTTATCATATGAGGTATAATAAGTTATAATATGAAGTTTAAAAAATGTGACATATCAGCTAGCATTTGTAATCGTCACACAGTGATTGTCTGGTGTTTTGACTCACCTGTCGCAGTGATTGCACTTGAAAGGCTTGGCGCCGGTATGTTTGCGGTAGTGCCTCGTCAGCTCATCGCTTCTCGCGAACCGCCATTCACAGCCTTCCCATGAGCACTTGTACGGCTTCTCCCCTGATAAGGACACACAAACAGATGCACACACACCTGATTAAAAATGCACTTTCTTCCTCGTGGGGCCTTGAAATCAGCGACTCGGTCCAGCCAGCCGTCTAATTCATTTGTTTTAAGTTGATTAGGCTATCGGAAGAGTGTTGACACAATTGGAGTTTATGAAATACATGATCGTCATTAGAGCGCACAGCTGTTGGACCAAATGAACTCGCACTCGATGAGCTTCCAATGAGTTCTTCACTGCGTTTAACAGATGTGAGAGGCTGCGTTCACATTTTTGATGTTGTATGTTTTCGTTGTGGATGGGAGCTGCCTTGTAGGAGAGCTGTTGTTCGTATGGGGTCTCATCGCTCGTTCATTAGCGCACTGAAGGGAACGTATGAAATGGGGGGCAGGCAGAGTTTATTTGGATCTCTGGGAGAGGTGATAATTGGAGTAGTAATGATGGGTAATGGGGAGGAACCTCATATTTACTGTCAACCAGCTGGCCCCGTCTCCACTGTTTGCCACATCTACAAATCTTCTGAAACAAGACTGTGGCTTCATATAAATTGCTTAACGATAAAATAAGTCAGATTTTCATGCAAGCACAGCTCCAAAATTTAACTAGCGGTTATTAAATCAACATGAACTCAAATGTGAAATCAAAATTGATCCTATTTACTATCTTAATACATGTTACTCTACAAAAAAAAAACATAAAAAAAGATTATTTTTTTAATAAAAAAAAATTCAAGCAACATTAATTTTTACTGACATGATATAATGTTAACACAGAACCAAGTAGTTTCAGGTAGGAAGTACTAGCATTTACAACACATTTGTTTTACCCATGCGATTGATTGATTGAAAATGATCATTCATTCCTTAATTTATTCAAGTTTATATATATATATATATATATAATTTTTTTTTAAAGCTTATTTATTAATTTATTTTAAAAGCCTATTTAGTTGTTTATTTTAAATAACCTTTCATTTATTCATTAGGTTATTAGATTATTAGGTTATTCAAAGCATATGTAGTTATTTGTTTATTTTAAAATGGTTATTTTATTTATTTATTTATTAGGTTATTTATTTAAAACGATTTATTTATTTATTTATTTTAAAAGCATATACATACATATTAAGTTATCTGTTTATTTGAAATGTTCTTTATTTATTAGGTTACCTATTTATTTATTTATATATAAAGACTATTTATTTGTTTTAAAAGCCTATTTAGTTATTTGTTTATTTTAAATATGTATTTATTATTTGTTTTTAAAGACTATTTATTTATTTATTTTTAATTTAAAGCTTTATTTATTTTTAAAAGTTTATTTATTTGGTTATTTTAAAGCTTATTTATTTATTTATTTTAAAAGTTAATTTATTCATTAAAAAAATAAATTAAAAAAACTACATTTAAACATCAGTTTTACTTTGAAACAGATACCACTATGCAAGTAAAATGGACTGTGAATTAATTTTGTGTCGACTTGTTGTTTAGCATGAAGAACCTTCCATGACGGCCACACTTTCATTCTGAGCCGTAAAAACAACAACAAGCTATATTTAGATCAGAATTTGAGCACTAAATTGCGTTCCCTTTCACACACATTCACAAGCTAGCCACATTAAGCAGGACAGGTTTAGACCTGCGCTCCCTGCGATTGCAGCACCAGCCAATTATAAGTCAGGGAGGCACGGATGCTCGAGTTTGTCGCCTAGCAACCAGGCAGGAGCGTAACGTAGGAGGCAGCAGTGGAGCCGGCTCTATCTGGCATCGTCTGTCCCTCTGTGCCACCAGCCAATTACGGCTCATACTGGCAGGGGAGGATGCAGTTGCCTGGCAACCGTAATGTTACATGATACACGTATGTACAAGTGGATATATGTGCGTATGCGCGGTGGGAATGAAAGTGCATGGACGAGGCTAGCGGTGTAAGCTGAAACTAGCGCCGAGACCCGAGAATCGTTCCCAATTATAGAGTCCCGTTCAGAGACACACCAGTTGCCTGGCAACTCCCCACCCCCATCACACAACCTTTCTTCTCTCACACACACTTTTTCTCTCTCTTTGCACCCTTACAGGTGCCAGAGTCTTGCTTAATTACATTTTCTCAGTTAAACTGCAGACAGAAAGACTCATTATGATCTGTGCGGCTCACGGCGGCACCAAGCAAAAAGCCATTTTCTGCCTTTCACCGCTCTTCCAAGTTTTTTACAAATCAGACTTCGTTATAATGGAAAGCAGAGCAACAGACAAAGTGGAAACAAGTGCCGCCACGTTCCTCTCTTCACCCCTCTGCATCTTCCTGAAAACCCACTCTTATCTCGTTCCCGAACGCCATTCATAAAACGCTCCAGAGGGCAATGTCATTTCCATTCACGCCGCCTTCGTTTCTGTACAAATTTCAATCACAGAATTTGTCCAAGTAATAACGCCTCCGAAATAGGATTTCGCTAATTGCAAACGAGTTGACGAATCGCTTTGGCATCAGATTTGAACGCAGCTCATTTGCTGCTTTGTTTTTTGGACGAATGGAATATACGGAAATACAGAAATTGCTCAAGGACTACAGCTAATGAATTATGCAGTTTTACTTAGCAAAAAGGAATTAAAATTTGCATTATTGTGTCAAGCAAGCACAACAGCACAGTTTAAACTGATTTTTTTCTGCAAAAAGTATATAATATAATATAATATAATATGTTTTTGAGTAAAATCATCTAAACATTCTATAATATATTGCTGGGTATCTGAGTTTAATGCAACTCATTGCTTCTTTCCTTTTTTTGGATAAATGCAATATATAAATTGAGAAATTGATCAAAGACTACAGGGCTAATGAATAATTCCATTTTAATTAGATTTTTTGGCGAAAAATATATTATATTATAATGGATTTTGATATTTCATAAATATGTACAGATATGTAGCTCTCAAATATTATTTGTTCCAACTTCCAATATATTTAACATATGTTGCCTCATTCACATCAAACATGGTGTGACACGTCAAGCTTGACTACGCACAAATTAGATTTAAGAACTATGGTGGACAGAAAGATTTTCAGAGAATTCTTACTTAAAGCTACTATAAGACTTCCGAAAGCTTGGAAAGTGCAGAAGTCATATCAAATACTTTTATGGTGCTTTCTTGTCCTTTTTGGACCTTGAGAAGGCATCCTGGTATTCTTGTGCATTCTGGACCGTCAATCCTCGTGTCATAATATATACGTCCTAAACACTTTCTAATACATCAGAAGGGAGCCATTAACATGTGACATGTTCTGGTTTCAAGAAATGGGGATCTGCTCTGGTGTGTTAACAGGCGTGCAGCAGACATAGGGAAATATACAGGCGAGTACATCTCATTCCAGCCGGTCCATCCATCATGAGGCAGTTATTCACTCCGTGGACAGCTTTGGGACAGCAGTCTGAGTGCTTTTGGATTGAGATCGAAGAGACAGAGAATTATGGCCATTTCCTGCACCATTCGAATCTGCTGAGGAAGTACTGTCGCAACCTTGAGAAAATGTTTGCCGCCGAGGGGCCGGACAGGCACGCTGCCATGGCGACGACGAAGTACCATTAATTACATCAGCTTGTCGCTTATTGTGTAAAATAAGATTGATTTAGTGAAATAAGAAAATTAATGATAAATGTGGTGGAATTGACTAACTATTTCTACATATATCAAGTTATTACTGTAAGAGCAGGTTAAGTGTTTATAGCTGCAACTAAACTAAACACTTTATTAGATTAACATACACACATATACATATACACACACACACATATAAAGCTCATTCTGAAATATGTATGTATGTATAATATTGTTTGAATGAATGATTCAATGACGCACTCAAATAATGTCACTTGTTTCATTCCTGTATGATTTAGTTTTTCAGAACAAATCGGTTGAATGAATGATTCAATGCCTCACTCAAATGCAGTAATTTGTATCGTTCCTGAATAAATCAGTGTTTTAGAACAAATCAGTTCTACAAATGATTCAATGACTAACTCATAAAGAAAGTCACTTGTTTCATTCCTGAATGAATCAGTACTTCTGAACAAATCAATTAAATAAATGACTCAGTGACTTACTCATAAATATATTTAATCGTTTCAATCAGTTTTTCAGAACAAATCGGTTGAATGAATGATTCACTCAAATGTAGTAATTTGTATTGTTCCTGAATAAATCAGTGTTTCAGAACAAATCAGTTCTACAAATGATTCAATGACTCACTCATAAATACAGTTAACGGTTTCATTCCTCAACAAATCAGTGTTTTTGAATTAGTCAGTTAAGTGAATGATTCGCTGACTCATTAATTCAAAGCTGGTCTACTTGCCACCTACTGGGGAACTTTGCAATATGCAGGACATGTCACTGAAATATGGGAAAACATCAGCACAATAATCACTGCAAATAATTAGTGAATTACAAAAATATATTCGCCTACCTGTATGTGTCCTCTGATGTGCCTTCAAATGTGAACTCTTGGTGTAGACCTTCCGACACCCGTTGAACTGGCAGCGATGGACCCTCTTCTTGTTCTCTGCCGTCTCGCCAGCTCCCATGGTGCAGGTGGCGCCCTGTTCCCCATCGCTCTGTGCTCCACTGCTGCCGTGCTGGGGAGAAAGTGGGACCGGGTGGGCTGCCACGAGCTTGGCAGAACTCAAGCCCACCTTTCGGGCCACTAGCTTGAGCGTGAGGGTCCCGTTGGGCGAGGCACTGAGTGTGTGGGTGGATTTGACTAAGTGACGGCCCAGTTCTGGGGACGAGGGAGGTGTTAGGGAGGTGACGGCGTTCAGCTGGGCTGCGTTGACCCCTAAGGTGATGTCTGGAGAGGTCACAGTAGAGGAAGTGGAGGAGAGAGTTTCTTTACGTGGGGTGAGGCGAGGAGGAGGAGGAGGAGGAGGAGGACTGGGGGGGTTGTTGAGGCTGGGAAGGAGGGGGTCTAACAGGTCTTCATCCGCATCTTCCTTCATGAAGGAGGGGGTAAGGAGGCCATCTAGTTCCTCGTCAAAAAGGTCAGACAGCCGTTTGGGTTCCGTCTGCAGATAGCGTTCCAACTCCAAACATGTCTGTGGAAAAAGATTTAGGTGTTTTTATTGACATGAACACTGCAAATGATTTGCCATACTTGTGCACGCAACACCTACACATCATAAATAGCACAATTTATTAATATAACCTTTATGTAAAGAATTTGTAAAGCCATTCTTACATAGATTATTTTTGCCGTTCCATTGACACAAAATGGTACAATTTAATGTCAAGACTTCATAAAAATATAAGACTTCGATAATTTAATAATTTATTCTTAAAAAACGTAATGTAAAGCATTTGTAAAACCGATCTTGTGACAATCCATACTTACATAGTTTGTTTTCCTAAATTGTACATGGTTTTTCAATTACATTTTATAATGTGTCAGTGACCTAAAACCATTCAGATTTTATTATTATTAGTATTACTATTATTATTATTTGTAAAATGACGCTTGATTTGCAGTTTTCTTCATATAAAACGTTAAGCATTCGTAAACCATTCTTATGACAATTGTTTGTAAAAACCATATGTATGTTTTTTTGTAAACTGACACATACATTGCTTACTCTATTCACAAAACCTTTATGTTAAGCTTTTGTAAAAACATTCTTAAATTAATCATCCCTTAAACAGTTTTATTTGTAAATTGTCACCAAGAATGCAATACATTTTTCGTAAAGCATTCTTACATTGTTCATAAACGGTCATAAAACAAAGCCATTTTTACAGAAATCATTCATAAATCATTTGCATAAAATAATTTATGTTAGAATTACATCCGTATTTGCACACATTCATTGCGCTGGTTTCATGATTTAGTCATCAGTCATAAAACTACTTTACATCCTTTAGGTGCTAGTAATATGGCCTCAGTCCTGTCACTGAGATACATCTAAAATGCAGTTGTTACTTGACACTAGATCCATTTCTTCTTTTAATATCACTTTAAATATCACATTTACACATTGTTTGAACCTATTAAACAACTCAAGCAATTAAATGAAAGATAAAATCATCCAGGCTAATCTAACTCATTAGCGCTGCATGTAAAGTAATGTGATTTTTCTTCAGACTAACCCCTTTCTGGACTGTTAACTGGGTACTGAGACTGCTACTGCATATCATTTGCTTCAGCAGGTCTTCAGGAATAGATGGTTACACTGTGATTGATTACACAGGCTAGACTGGAGCTCTCTGGAGCTGAAGAAAAAGACCTGGCCTGAATTGCTTGTTAGAGTGCTTTATGTGGAGCAAAACTGGCTCTTCAAACTGAAGGGGAGAGAGAGAGAGAGTGTGTGTGTGAAAGAGAAAGAAGCCATCAGACTTGGATTCTTCCACTTTGGATGGGTTTTTATATTTCAGTCTAAAGAATTGTGCACAGAACAGCAGCGTCAACAGAATACGATTTAATGGCAACTTATGAGCCGCTACTACTCCTTTAAGATACTTCAAGGGGCCATATAAAGGACAATAAAATTTTCTTTGTTTTGAAATTAAACAACACAAAACCTCTTCCAATGTACACTATTTTAAAACTGTAAACTGCTTTAAAAAAACTGTTAAATGCTCTTTTGCGACTACACGTCATATATGACCTTATTAAAATATTGGGTAGAGCCCACGTCAGACTGTGCACCATTAACAGTCTTTTATGACTGTATGCTATATATATATTTACTAGTGCTGTCAATCGATTAATCGTGATTAATCGCATCCAAAATAAAAGTGTTTGTTTACATAATATGTGTACTGTGTATATTTATTATGTATACAGTATATAAATACTAACACATGCATGTATATATTTAAGAAAAAATATGTTTATATATTAAATATATTTATATATAATATAAAATATCATATATATACACATGTAAATATTTTTTAAAATATATACTGAATGTGTGTGTATTTATATATACATAATAAATAAACACAGTACACATACATATATTATGTAAACAAAAACTTTTATTTTGGGTGTGATTAATCACGAAAAATCTTTTGACAGCACTAATATTTACCAACACTTATTTTATTTACATATCATTGCCAATTTAGCATTACATTTATGCATATATGCTTAAAGGATATTGAAAAAAAAAACACTGGAAGCAGAAAGATGGTAATGCAAAATTAAATTACAAAAACAAACTAATAATTCCCCCAAACATAATTATAACCAAATAAATATTTTTTTTGTGAATATCGCTAATGATAAAAGATGCTAGAAAATTGATGCTAAAAAAAGCTATGCAATACTAAGTTACAAAACAAACAACAACAAATAATAACACACAGATAGAGATATATATATATATATATACTGTATATATAATACAACAACAATAATAATAACAAATACATTTGTAAATACAATTTTTTTTTATTAAATTGTATTATTTATATTACATAAAATAAAAATACAAAAATTGTTAGTTTCAAAGAATTATTATTTTTTTTTTTGTATATTGGAAATAATAAAATGCTTCTCCTTTAAAGTAAATATTTTGCATAGTTGTCTAAGAAGGAGCAGTAAAGTCAAGTTTTTATTTTCTGAAACGTTTCTCATAACATGACCCAAACCTTTTACAAAATCATAAAGAACAGTAACCTATCATCTCAGACAAACTGGCCTCTAGCTATAAATGTCTCGCTTGAATCTCTGGCTCCAAACACGACGGCGGTTCGGAGCAGCTTCTGTTGCTAGGCGATATTGTTTGCTTGTCATTTTATGAAAGGAGCGTCTGCCGTTTTTTCTCAGCGTTAAAAGCATTTTAATGTCTGCGCTGAACTGAAGGTTTCAGAAGTCAGGTAAACAGGGCATAGCTGAACTGACATTACCTGAGACGTCACCCGGAATATCTAAACATGACAGAAGACACTATAGTTAGAAGACACAGAGCTTCGCATAACCGTCTCCGAGCAATCTGCTAAAGGAACCATCTCTCTCAACTCGTTCAAAATAAATATTTGCATTTCTAAAAATCTGTTGTTTTCCCTTTTACAAAAACACACATGGTTTCTCGCTGTGCCCTGAACTGATGGGTAATTAGTCACTTAAATGAAGCAGTAAAGAGATACTCTCCATTCAGTGAAAGCGCTGATGGGCTCTTGCATCTCTGTGCATGTTTCCCAGCTCAACCGATGACATTTAAAAGCCTCCACTCAGCACGCCGGCAGCGGTGAGCACTGTATGGGCCCTTTGGATGCACGCCGACACAGGAGGGATTGATTTTCTAATGTGCTATAGGGCTGTGGTGGTCTGACGTGTCATGCCTGCATGCTGTCGAACCGTCACACGTATGACAGGAACACGGGCAGACTGAGTTCATGGGAGTTCGCGTGAGCACGTCATATCGAGAGAGGGCAGACTTGTGCATATGTGTGTCGGGAAAAAGAGGCAGATACTTTTTGAAGGTGAGGCGTTTGGGAGTCAGGTTTTTCCTTATCGCTCTTTTGCTTTTCTCCGTCTCTTCGCCCCTCCTCCCGCAGGCCCCGAGGAAGTGACATTCAGGGGATATTGTTACTTAAAATGGCAGCAAATCCAATGCGTCCAGTGCCGTCTGGGTCGCTTTGGGCCATGTGATTTAGCGGTGCGGCAGACTGGATGCCAATCGAGTCGAAAGCGACGCTATAAAAGCCACCCGGCGGATTCGCAAATCTCTGACAATTTGGATGTTTAATAAAAACTGATCGCAACTCGACACCCCAGTTTTGTCATAAAATAGGCGATAAAAAGGGAGAGCGTCGCTCAGTCTGATAACAGATGGCTTGAATTTTTTTGTTGTAGTCCCTGTGTGGGTCACACATGATCTGCGAGAGACTGTGACATAAAACAAACCTTAAGTCCCAAGTCAAGGTCATTTGGTGTCTTCCAGGCGTTTCATTGCAATCAGAAAGCCAAGCCAAGCTATTAGGTATTCATGAGACTGAGATGTATGAATTCGTATGAACAGATAGAGTGCCACACATAGTTTTCATCTGCAAAAACCAATTAGATGAATCGCCATTAGCATTACATAAGCTTTCTAAAAAACAGTTTGTCTAGATTGAATAAGACACATTCATATTATTTATTTATTTATTTGTTATTTATATTTTATAGAATTGATTATTATTAATAATAATAATAATAATAATAATAATAACAGCAGAATAAAATTATTATATTATAAACATAATATAATTATAATAATATTATAAAAAATAATAAACATTATTATTAATGCTAATAATTTTATTAGTATTATTATTAATATATTATTATATTAAAATGCATATATATATATAATTATAATATATATATATATATATATCTTTGTATCTTTGTTTGGCCTTCCATCATTGCTCTAGTATGCATGCCCATTTATAGCTGTGATTTTTACCATGGTATATATATATATATATAGAAATGGGCATGCATACTAGAGCAATGATTGATCAAGAACGCGTACTGAAAGGTCATAAACTTTTAATTTTGAATTTGGTGGTCCAATTGGTTAGAATTGGCCCACATGTTCTTCAGTTAAAAAAACAGCAGACAGAACTCTGGCATCTGAGATATATTTTTAACTATTTCCACTTGACATGCTGTCTTAAAACTGCAATATTCGAGGCACGAGATGCTTATAAATATGGCAAGATGTGATGCAACGGTAAAACATGTTGTTCTGATGCATATGTACATTGACAGGCAATTTAAAAATAGCGCAGAAAGAACTCGTTCTACACTCAGCTGATTGATTTGGAGTATTTAAGCAGTCAAAATGAACATCCCCAGTGACAACCACTACACTAATGACAAAAACATCACCACAGAAACACAACAAACAAATGAAAAACATCATCTAACATTAACCAGGTGTGATTAACCAGTTTCTTCTTTTTGTCCGATCTTGCTCCAAATATCTTTTAATTGGCTGTTTAATTGACTCTTTTAACGCAGCAGTTTCAACATTTGCTTGTCGGCGAAAACCTGCTGTGCCAATATGCTAAAAAATAAAGGTTCTTTATTGGCATCTGTGGTTCCATAAAGAACCTTTAACAAGCATGGAAAATTTCCACTGCACTAAAGGTTCTTTCTATTGAAAAAGGCTCTTTAGATTTTTAAAACGTTCTAGGCGCTAAGAAAAAAAATGATTCTTTTAAGAACTGATCACTGAAAGGTGCTTTTGGAAACCTACAATGTTCTTTAGATTATTAAAGGGGATGGTATAATGCTATTTCATGCATTCTAACTAATATACAATGCTCAAGTGTTGGATTCTCATGCTAAACATGACCAAAAAATTTGTTGGATGTGTATGATGGAGTATTTCTGTGCTAAAGACACTTCTTCAGGGTTTCTGAAGTATGGTCCTTCATGACATAAAGGGCAGAATTACTTGTATGGGCATTTCTCTAGCCTTCATCTTTCCCTCGGGTCATTTTGACCCGGATTTTTTACAATTATTAAAAAATTAAGTGTTCATCTGAGTGGTACTTCATCTGAGTGGTACTAGACTTTGTGACTTTTGTTCCACTTGAATTTGGAACACACACACAAAAAAATATATATAATTGAATGGATTCGAGGATTTATGTGGGTGTACCGTATTGGCCCGAATATAAGACGACCCTGATTATAAGACGACCCCCCTTTTTCCAGATGTACCTTTTGGAAAAAGGCTTTTTAAAAAACAAATCTTGTTTTTTCTCAGTAAAACACATTTTGTCTTCAATTATTTTCATATTGCATATTTTTCCTATTTTAATTTTTGTTTTGAAAGTATGGTAAAAACTGGTAAAATGTACCAACAATCACATTTAAAAAATATACACTTTTTGATATACCATTAAAAAAAAAACAGGTAGCCCATCTGAATTATGACATTTACGCTATCCATCTAATAGTAGCCTACCAAAATCTCATTAACAGTAGAAGTTAGATCTTACTGTAGTCTTCAAATCTGGGTACTGTCTTACGTTTTAAAATCACAAAGGGAGTTTGGTCGCATCAGGCTAACGTGACAGTCACGACTCATGCAGCTGTAAGCTTTTCTTTCTCTTTTGTTTTTTCTCGCGATCTTTACAACACGCATTACATCATGTATTTCATGACACACTCGTTTTATGTGTATTTGGCGCCACCTATTGTTGTGGGTGTATTATTGACATGTCAAAGTCTAGACCCTGAATATAAGACGACCGCGTTTTTTCAGATGTATTTCCAAGAAAAAAACATCGTCTTATATTCGGGTCAATACGGTAATTACATTTTTTTTTTTTTACAAATCTTTCCCTCATTTTGACCCAACCACAGGAACGAATAGAATGCCGAACAAAACTTGGCTGGCGCTCACCTATTATCATCCCTGTTTTGATTTCAGCGAATCAGTTCGAGCGAACGCACACAACCTGATTAATATTCATGAATCCAGTAGCTCATTAATCCTTAGTGCGTTTTTATATTGTTCTTATTAGTAGAATTCGTATAATAATAATAGTATCTTATCAATAATAATATCTTAAGCCCCAGCACCAGTCCTAAGTTCATGGTTACCAAGTTTTAATTCTAATTACTAAACTTCTATTATTAAATAATACTTGATTATCATATTATAATGCTTGACTGCTTTATATTAAGAGTATACTTTGTTGTTTATTTTATTTATTTTTATAATGAAGTAGTCTGTATCTAGTAGATTGTGAAAGAATGAATATCAGTTCCACACACAGAGATATATATATATTCTACATTTATTTAAATGAGGGAAAAAAACTTCACCGGTATCGGATCGGAATCGGTATCGGCCAATACTGAACCCTAGGTATCGGAATCGGTTCATATTTGTTTATTTTATTTTTCTTTATAATGAAGTAGTCTGTATCTAGTAGATTGTGAAAGAATGAATATCAGTTCCACACACAGAGATCTATAAATTCTACATTTATTTAAATGAGGGGAAAAAACTTCACTGGTATCGCATCGGAAATCGGTATCGGCCAATACCGATCCCTAGGTATCGGAATCGGTATCGGAAGCGAAAAAGGTGGATCGGAGCATCCCTAATTATAACACGCATGATTAAGGAAAACAAGGTAAATAAAAATTAAATAAATTTAAAAAATCCCCCCCAAAAATCATAAAAAACCTACATAAATATTAAGAAAAAAATGGATCAATATAAGCATCCTGGAAAAAAAAAATAATAATTTTAGGCCTTCGGGTTATTTTGACCTGCGAGGGAAAGATCTGTTACAAAACGTGAGGGAAGGAAGAAGGTTAGGAATTCTGGATCTAATATATTTGGCTGGATCTAATGTTTTAGCCATAGTTAATTTAAGTCAATTAAGTTTTTGTTCCTGTTTTATTTATGTTTATGTCACAGCCTGCAGACGTTATGTCCACTTTAAACTCTTAAAATAAAGATTCCAAAGGGGGTTTTTGCAGTGATGCCATACAAGAAACCAGTTTTGTTTCTCCAAAGAACCTTTCAGCGAACAGTTCTTAAAAGAACAGCTTTTTCTTGGTATGAAGAACATTTGAAAAAATCTGAAGAACTCTCTTTTTTTCACTATATAGAACCTTTTGTCCAGTGGAAAGATTCCATAGATGTTCAAGGTTCTTCATGGAACCAATCAATGCCAATAAAGAACCTTAATTTTTACGAGTAAAAAAAAAAAAACGCTCTTTTAAGAACTGAAAGGTTCTCTGGGAAACCTAAAATTGTTCCTCAGATTATTAAAACGGTTTTCACAAAAAGGAAAAACTGGTTCTCTGAACTGTTCACTGAAAGGTTGTTTTGGCAACTCAAAATGGTTCTTCTATAGCAACCTCTATTTTTAACTCTTTCCCCGCCAAACACATAATTTTCCGGGTTTCTGCGTTTTTTCACTGTTATACAGTCAGGGGCGCTATTACGCATCTCCTGAATGAGTCCAGAATGTGCTGATCAAAAACACAGGCGTGGAAGATGCAGAAACGAGCGATCTCATATGTAAGCATAATTATGTATATGGAAAATAATGCGATCATCAACAATAAACAGCATATAAATGAAAACTCCCTAATGTTATCCATTGAAATGTCGATCCAGGAAGTGGTAAAGCTTTGGGGTGCTGATGGAAGCGATCTACTGCATCTTTGCTTTGATCATCAGACTGAATATGATCCAGATGTAGTAGTAGCTAAAAATGTGATTTTCTCAGCTTGTTTTTTGTTTGTTTAAAAGTAGAGGCTCTGTTCTTTATTTTGATGTATTGTTCAGACACTGAAACAACAAAATATTCTGGGGGCCATGAAATGTTAGTGAAAATGATCAACAATGCTGGCGCCAACTTTTTTCAAATATGCTGGCGGAGAAAGAGTTAAGAGCGTAGTTAGGATATGGTATACAAATAGTACACAAACAAATAAATCATAATAAACCTCAGTTGCATCTTAACTCCACCTTCTAAAGCGTGCATGTATCTACCAGTATCTAATGTCACTGGGTGCAGAAATCGAGCAAGTGAAGACCCCCTGCCGGCATCTCGCACCACGTCGTAGAAGGAGCGACTGTCAAACATGGTGAGGTTTGAACTAATAAAGTGAGTCATCTGTGACGTGCCCCGCAGCGAGCGCAGCTGAGAATATGAGAGCGAGAAACGCAAGGCCCTTCACTGTCAGTCATTTAGGTGCCCTTTTTTTGGAAGCCTGTCCATCGTTGCCGATTTGTGACCTGTTCCTCGCCGCAGGTTTGGCATGATCTATCATCTGTAAAGTGACGAACCTGGCTCGCGATCGGTTGTTATGGCAGCGATGTTGACACGTCTGTCTTCTGTAGTCGAACCCGCTGCGCAATTATCTTTTCTGCATCTGTGCACCTGTGACAACATGTCACTTCCTCTTGCATCTCAGTATGGCCTCTAGCCATCCAACCCATCGCAATACCGCCATATATCCGGCATAAACGGAGCAACGGGTGAGCGCAATATAAGACCGGCTATCGCTCTTACTATATTAAGTTTAATATAGGGTAATCTGATTTGAGAAAGGAGTTGGAGGTACCCTCATACAATCTTCCCCTCGCACCATGACGCTCAGCGGGAATACCGTCATGCGGCGCGCCAATTAACAGCGAAGCACTGCCTCCCTCCAGCAGACAAAGCTAATAAAACAAGCTGGTTATAAAAATGAATGAAGAGCCCGTGGAAGAGAAGCAGCATCGACATCCAGACCAAATGCAAACAGCTGTTAAGCGAGTTGACAGAGAAATGCTCTATTAATTTTTGAGAGATGATTTAGCATCAGCTGTCCCCAGCTAAAGGCCATTGGCGGCGGAGAGGCAAAAACATGGGAACGGGGGTTATTTGTCAGGACAGGTTGTTGATCGCTGTCCTAGAACATTTGTCAAAAGGTCTCAAAACGTGCTTGTGGAAAATAATCTTCCTCTGTGGCTGGAACCTGCATTTCCAATTTCGAGAATGGAAGAATCGTTTGCTGCTCGGGACATGTGATGTTTCCATAGCGGCCTCCTTTTAAATGCAACTGCTATTAGATGCATTAACTCTTGTGCTGTGCTGAAAATCCTTTACCTAAATTGGTGTTCCTGTGACCAGCCTTTTAAAAATAATATGCTATATTATCACCAAATCTTGGACTTGAGCCTTTTGTTAACTTTTTGAAAAACAAACACAAACCCTGTCCTAATTCAAAGAAAACAAGTTGGTAAAAGTGTTTATTCCTGTGATGCAAAGCTGAATTTTCAGCATCATTACTCCAGTCTTCAGTGCCACATGATCCTTCAGAAATCTTAATATGCTGATTTGCTGCTCAAGAAACATTTCTTATTATTATCAATGTTGAGAACTCTTGTGCTGCTTCATATTTTTTATGTAACTTTTCTCAGAATTATTATTTTATGAATAGAAAGTTCAAAATATTTTTTTATCACCAAATCTTGGACTTGAGCCTTTTGTTAACTTTTTGAAAAACAAACACAAACCCTGTCCTAATTCAAAGAAAACAAGTTGGTAAAAGTGTTTATTCCTGTGATGCAAAGCTGAAGTTTCAGCATCATTACTCCAGTCTTCAGTGCCACATGATCCTTCAGAAATCTTAATATGCTGATTTGCTCCTCAAGAAACATTTCTTATTATTATCAATGTTGAGAACTCTTGTGCTGCTTCATATTTTTTATGTAACTTTTCTCAGAATTATTATTTTATGAATAGAAAGTTCAAAATATTTTTTTTAATTTGAAATAGAAATCGTTTGTAACATTATAGATGTCTTTACTGTCACTTTTCAAATTGAATACATCTATGCTGAATAAAAGTAAAAATTCTTTCCTTTTTTCCCCATACTTACCACAAAGTTTTGAATGGTAGTGTATCGTGGTTTCCACCAAAATATTAAGCAGTAAAAATTGTTTTCAACATTGATAAGAAATGATTACTGTTTCTTGAGCAGCTAATCAGCATTCTGGAGTAATGATGCTGCAAATTCAGCTCTGCCATCACAGGAATAAATTAAAATGTTTAAATATATTAAAACAGAAAACAGTTATTTTAAATTGTAATAATACAGTATCTCACAATATTACCGTTTTTACTGTATTTGCGATCTAATAAATGCAGCCTTGGAGACTTCTTTTAAACATCGTAATTATTTAAAACTTTTGATCTGTTTGTGTATTTTATTTAATTATGTATTAGGAACATTATTCCTCTCTTTAAGTTCCTAAATGAGCAACGCAAATAGGTATTTGTTGCCATTCTGATCATACCAACTGTCTGATATGACACATGCAAGCTGATTAGCCACTGGACACAACAAAGAAACCCTTCCAAAGGCTTTTTAAAAGACCAGGCCCTGTTAGATATACACACCGACTCCAGCTATCCACTTACTCCAATGACACCCTCCTGACGGATGGGCTTAGAAGTGAAACTCATCCGGCCTGTTCTCTGATCAGTCATTGATCTGTAATGTTAGACTTGGGCTAAAGGGAGAGGGGGACCACAAATGACCACCTGCCAGTGCTTTGATTCAGGAAGGGACTGGCCAGCTGGCGGCACCCTGAGACACAATCCCCCTTCAGGCCGCGGCCGATCGATAGGACGGGGGGAATGATGGGGCCGTGCGTGATCTCATCAACAGTGGCCCTCACAACTCGCCCTGCCTCCCATTTACAGCCTCGCCAGGCGGCGCCTAAAAATAACCTACATCTCATCTGCAGGAAGCTTGCCGACACACACATTCGCACATAGTATCGGACATACAGAACTCAAGAGATGCGAGAGCCAGACCTGACTTCAGGTTCAAAGCTACTAAGAAGACTTTATAGTGAGTTAGAAGCATTTACATGACCAAATTACTAAACATTTGATAGATAGATAGATAGATAGATAGATAGATAGATAGATACACGCTTTTCCATCAGTATAATAATATAATTATTATATATAATCAATATCATATATATAAATTATAAATATTTTTCTGAGCAAGAATGCTATTTTATAAATAATTGTATTTAAATTATTATTAATTAATGATTATTATTATTATTAATACTACACTGTTATTAATTTAATAATTGTTATTCAATTTAATTATACTAAATTATTAATATATATATATATATATATATATATATATATATAGAATAAAATAATAAAAATATTTTATATATCATATTATATATATATATATATATAT